TGTTAATATTATAATTTATTTATTGACTGTGTGGAAGGCAGCTTTGTGAAAAAGCTGGCCAGTAGCTGACGGGCCAGGCGCAGGTGAGCTGTGAAATAACCTGCACCGTATAGCTGGCGACCACATCATTACCACCTGAAACCAGGTTTGGCCAAACATGTCTGCAATGTGACCTGACCAGCTGAAGGTAACCTGTCGGCACTTTGGCGGTGTAATAGGGATACAAGCTGAATTGTGTAATGCCCTCCCGAATCCAGTGGCGGATAATACTATGTATACACAGAAATCGGGCACCACTTCGTTCAAGTGAAAGGACGGTTGAGATGGCTAACTGGCAGCGACAGGTTTCTTGCGTTTGAACGCACACCTATCTCCGTGGAGGCGCTAAGTGCACCCAAACTCGGCTGGTTCTGGTCGCCTAGACACGGCGGAGCCGACGCCCGTTGATGTCCACGACGACTCGCTAGATTTTGAGAGTTTAGGTGCATCGGCGGACCTCAACACAACCCTCCTACCTTCCCCCGCCACCCCGGCCTGCGTCGAGACGTGCGGAGGCCCTCTCGACAGGGTGTGGGTAGGCGGCTAGCCTCGGCTAGCAGCGATTGATGGCTATACGCTGGTGAGGTGTCAAAGTCTATGAGTTGCTTCAACGTAATGAATCACAGTTGTCGGGATTTGGGAAATGAAAAAAAGAAAGAATCTGGGCAGAAGAATTATGGTCAACGCTCAGGCGGGACGACGATCAATTTGACGGCGAGCTTGAGTCCTTTGAGCGCCTGCCAATTTATAGGCCCCGAGAAGCTCCCGCTAAGAATTGCCCGCAAAGTGGCTTTTTGAGGGGGAAATTTTTGTGGTTTTACTGTCCAAAAAGTGGCTTTTTGAGGCGAGAATTGGGTGGTTCAAAAAACTTCGCACTGCGGCACTCCAACCCACAACTGAATTCGAGCGAAGCAACTTCGGTCTGCACTGATCTCCGACTGGACAGTAGAGCGTTGCTTGGAGCTGCTATGCGGCGGAGGAAAGGAAAGAAAAGGCTATTTTGGCGAAAATATGACATTCACGTGACCACCCTTGTCCGATAGTGGCTGTTTTACGCCCAAAATTTCGCCGGGAGAATTATAGATGCAATAGTAGTTCGGATTGACTGTAATTGCAATTGTTTATTGCCGCCTTCTTTGCGGACATTACTTTTTTCGAAGCACGACTCCGAGAGCGACCAGGACCTTCTCTAAGCGGTAACTCATAAGAAGCACTGTATGTTTGCTAAATTCCGCGCCGGAGAAAATTGAAATAACAATGTTTTTCTGCACGATTGCCGAAGGACGCGTCTTGGAGCGTTGCTGGCTGGAATAAAAAGCACACAAGGCGCAGAATCTGGCTATGTAGACCTCGATGTGTGGAGTACCGACATCTGTAGGAATGTTGTTGGATTCAGACCTCGCAAGTGAATTCAGACCGCAATGCATTTTGTCCGCCATATTTGAATCGCGTCGGTAAAGTTTATACACATTCAAGAAGACGGTGTACCGAAAAAATCAGGTTACCTTTGATCAAACCTGAACCTACTCAGCTCCTTACCATGAGGATAAAACACGGGCTCGCTCCTCCAGCGTGCATATGACCAAAGATGTTCCTTCCGCGAGCGATTCACTCTGGATCCCGCCATACAGTATGTGAATCGAATCATGCTGGCTCAGAGTTTACATTTTCTTCCATTATTGAGTTATGGACATTCACGCAGACAGCGCATCGAAAAACCCAGGCCATCTTGGATCAAACCTCAACCCACTCAACTCTTTGTCATGGTTATAAAACACGGGCTTGCCCCTCCAGCGCACCACGTCGTCGATAGCGCTCCCATACCGGATGAGCTTCGCCTCAGAGAACGCTGTTCCCCACACACCCAGCCCGAACGGGAGCTGCCAGGGGTCCTGGCCGATGGGGATGGTGATGGCGGGGTAGTGCGCGGCGGCGGGAAGCCCGCTGGAGGGGGAGTCGAATTCGCCGGCGCCGGCCATGGGGACAAGAAGGCCATCAAGCTGTGTCACGGTGCCGTTGGAGGATATGTGTGTGAGTGCAGTGTCGATACCGGCTTTGGTGAGTTCGTGGCGCCAGAGCTGAGGAATAAAACCCAGGTCAGAGACGTGAAGCGAACAAAATACTTGAACAAGTCGACCTTCGCGAGATAATAGGTGTTATTCATCACGCCATGCGTCCCATTCGCGCGAAGAAAATTATCTGCGCCACTCGTCCAGATTTCTCCTCCACCCAGAGAGCCCGTGCTCGCGTTGTTGGTGTCCTCCCACTCGAGCAGTTCGCCAAACGTGCGGATACCACCACTACCATCGCCCAGGTCGCGCAGATATCCATCAATCCCGTTGTACAGATCCACATGCAGGTACGTCCGAGCCCAGAGCTCCTCCGGCGTGTCGAGCGCGTCACCCCAGCCGTACGGATTCTGTAGCTCCCGGATGCGCGGAATGTCCGTGTTATTGTACAGAATTGCGCCTGCGTCTTCCAATTTACGCAGCACCTTGAGGAACGCCGCGTGGTGAGTCACAGCACCTGCCGTGGAGCTCCACAACACATCCCACGGGATTCCGAATTTCGCGCCATGCAGTGCACTTGCATTCGCGACTGACTCGGAGAAGTTTGCGTGGACAGACGCGCCGGAGGTGAGGGCGTTGAAGGTAGCGTTATCGCGGAAGTCCACGCCAGAGATGGCGTCGAGGATGTACGCGGCGTCACGGAAGGTACGCGCGTGCGGGCCAATCGAATCTTGAGACAATGAGCCTGGGATAACGCCTGCTCGCGATACTCTCCCAACAGTAGGCTTGATCCCGACGATACCCGCATGCATCGCAGGCAGCAAGATGCTCCCGTCCGTCTCTGTACCAATCGCCGCCATACAGAGGTTCGCTACCACGCTCTGCGCACTTCCACTGCTGCTCCCCGAAGTCTGCTGTGTTCCGTTGAAGGCATTGCGAGTTTGTCCGCCGCGGTCACTGTAGCCTTCGGGGTAGTTGTCGTACGCGATGTAGTCGGCGAATTCGGCCATGTTGGCGTGGCCGAGGAGAACGGCACCGCTGAGGCGCAGCAGTGCTGCGACGTGTGCATCGCGAGGGACGGTACTGTTGAGGAGTGCGAGGCTGCCGCCGGTGGTGGGTACTTTGTCGGCGGTGGCGATGTTATCCTTTGTGAGGATGGGAATTCCGTGGAGGGGGCCGCGGGGACCGCTCGTGAGGCGCTCTTGGTCGAGGGAATGAGCGATGAAGAGCGCATCTGGATTGATTTGGATGACGGTGCTGAAAATGTTCACGACTGGATGAAGAAGACGCAGCTGAGGACGTACTGGACGTAGGGATTAAGAATATTTATGCGAGCGATGTAACATTGAGTGAGCTGTTGTGCTGTCAACAGTCCGGTGCTGAAATATCTCTGGGCAGTGTCGATATCAATGTCCTCGATGTCCACCCCATTGCACTTGACAAGCGAAATATTAACGATCATGAACGTCGTGTTTTAGTCGCGCTGGGAACCTTCTCTACTGGAAAGGGATTTGTCCAGTGGGCCAATGCACATGATACCAAGGTAAACACAGCGCAGAGTCTCAAGAGTGGCATCAGAGTAGGAAGCAGAGGCGACGATGTTTGTCCAGTGTCAGTATCAGCGTGATCGGAGTGACCGGACCGTACATCCGAGTCGGTCTGCTTCTAACCAACGACGATTTCGGTTGTTCTACAGTACAAGACCTAATGGCGAAAACGACATCGCACCCACTGCACCTGTCCCGAGAAGCTGAACGATCCATTTAGGCGGAAGACCCTCGTTCGATTCGAGGTTAGGTCTTGGATTCACAGCTACCAGCACTTTCTTATTCACCGGCACAAAGGCTGAAATAATTTTACAGTACTCGAAGTTGGGGAAGAAGGGTGGAAGACCTAATAACGAAATCTGGCATCGTATTCACGCTTGATTTCTCGCTGAAAATCAATCCGTGTTCAGAAGTCCCTCGTTTGGCTCGAGGTTATGTCATGCTTCTTCCCTTTGTTTTTCATTCACCGCACACAAAAGCCTGAAATAATCACAGACATATTTAAGGGCAGGTGAAGGTTAGGAAGACCTAACAGCGAAATTGATATCGCGTCCACTGCACCTATCGAGGGCACACTCGACTATGTGGAAGTCCCTCGTTCGAATCGAGGTTAGGTCCTTCTTTTGTTCAACCCGCACAAAAATCATTAAATAAATTTGCAGTAACCCAAACCTCGGAATTACAGGAGCAAGACCTAATAGCGAAATCGGCATTGCATCCACTCTTGTTGGCAGAACTGTCTTGTTACGTGGAAGTCCCTCGCTCGAACCGAGGCTAGGTCCTTTCGCCTCTGCGGCTACCGTTCTTTTTTATCAATTTTTCATTCAAACCCACACAAAGACCGTGAATAATTCCGCGCTAGTTTAGGTTTGATTAGTGGGTAGGAAGACCTAGTAATGGTGGTATTGGCATCGCGTCTGTTGCCGGTTCAAAGTTTTTCAACACATTGAATGGAAGGCCCTCGTTCGAATCGAGGTTAGGCCCTATGTTCCCATGTCACTCCCACCGCTCTTTTTTTTTCAACCCACCAAGAGGCCCAATCAATCACACATCAAGCAAGGTGCATGACTATACCAGGAAGACCTAACAGTGAAATCGGTATCGCGTCCATTTCCCTTAAGAAAGAAGTTTCAAATGGAAGTCTGAAGTCCGTCGTTCAAAACTGAGGTTAGGTCATTTGTCCCACTTGTCCTTTCTTCCCTGTCCCTCATAATTTTGCAGTATGCAAGGATTAAATGAAGGACCTAATAGCAAAAATGGTATTGCATCCACTGCAATCTGAAATCACTGAAAGTCGCTCGTGCGGACCGAGGTTAGGTCATTACCCCTTCGGCTTGGTTTTTTTCCCCCACACAAACAGCCCAAAAAATCACACACCTAATCAAGGGCAGGTGAAGGGTAGGAAGACCTAATAGTGAAATTGGTATCGCATCCACTCCCCATTCCATTGCGCATTGTGTGTAAGTCCCCCGTTCGAGTCGAGGTTATGTCATGAATCTTTCCTGTAAATGTTTTATCGGCAAAACGTGCATAATTGTTGGTAGGTTTTTTTATTCACCCCCCAAGTTTCGAAAGAAAATAAACCACTAGGGGCGCTCAATCCTAGGTCGAGCTGGTCGGGTCGTTTGAAAAAAATGAAAAAATAGAGGCAAACAAAGATCAATTATTGTTTCGACGGGCTATTTACTACCTCGTCTTAACCGTAGCCGGCAGATTCTTACTCAGAAGGACCCTAGCTACTTCAGGAAGTCTCTGAAAAAAAAGGACCTTTAATAAAATATTCTCCGCTCAGAAAAAATGATTTACAACAGAAAGTTCGTGTTTTGAGTCGAATTACAAGTAGATGGTGTCTTGCTTAGGTTTAAATAAGCTGAATCACCTTCAGTGGGGTCCTAGAGAAGCTCAGGGACATATCACGGGTCGTGGATGAGTCTGATGAGCGTAGAAGCGTCTCCAAATGGCTGGAGATGGAGAGTATTTGTTCGAGTCTATTTTTCTATTTTATTTGAAACGACCTGACCGGGTCGACCTAAGAATTGAGCACCCCTGGTTGAATGAAGGGTAGGAAGACCTAATATTATAATAGTCCACTGCACCTGGCTGAACCGGCTTGTATCATTTCGGTGGAAGTCCCTTGTTCAAGCTGAGGTTAGGTCGAATGGCTGTTTGTCATCGAAAAAACATCGAAATTATTTTCGCTTCTTTTTCTTCACCTCATCCAAAAGCCCGGAACAATCACAAACCTATCCAAAGGGCGAAACCAGCATCGCATCTTTCGAGGTATCACCATGGACGCTCATTCGTTCCAAGGTTACTGATAGGTCCTGCCAATCCCCGCGACGTTTTTATTCAACCCACACCCAAAAGTACAAGTGATCCCACACCTATCCGAGGGGAACTAAATGGGAGGAAGCACCTAGTGGCGAAAATGGCATCCCATCCACCTCAATTGGCTTGGTGCACAAGCCTTGTAGTGGAAGTCCCTCGTTTGACCCGAGATTAGGTCCTTCAGGGGTTGCATTTTCTTTTCATTCAACTCACACAAAAGCTGAAATAATTTCGCAGCAACCAAGTTCCGAATTACAGTAACAAGACCTAATAACGAAATTGGTATCGCATCCTGCCGTTGAAAAATAGTCCAGCGGTTTCTGTGGAAGTCCCTCATTCGAGGTAAGGACCCCACACTAAAACCGAAACACATACCTATCCAAGAGAGAAGGAAGACCTAATAGCGAAATATGGCATTGCATCCACTCCCAATACACAAGCACTGTTGACCATGTGGAAGTCCCTCGTTCAAATCGGGATTAGGTCCTTGACGTGTGCAATCTCCTTTTTCATGTCATACCAAATAAATCTCGCTGTAATGTGGTGCAGAAGTATAGAAACAAGACCTAATACCGAAAATGGCATCGCGTCCACAGTCCACTGTCATGGAAAGAAGTCGCGAGCCGTTCTGGGAGTCCAATGTTTGGCCTTAGACTGAGGTCAGGTCAGCTGCTGTACCTTTCTCTCTCTCTCCCTTCTCCTTCAAAATTTTGCAGTGAAGCCTAATAACACCGGGGGCGAACACTAACGCACTTGGTCTGCACCAGGAAATGCAGATGAAGTTTTAGACAAAGGAGGGCTTTGTCAGCTCGCGGGCCCGACAAAGCCTGCCTTTGTCCCTTTGTCGGATATCTTACCAGGTGCCGAGCAAGTGCGTTGGTATTTGCCACGGTGTAAGCAATGAGATCTCGAAGTGCGCCGATATCTGCCTTTGTGGAAATCCCTCGTTCATCCCGAGCTTAAGTCGTGAGTGGCTCGTCGAAATCCTTCTATTTTTCAACCCACCGAAAAGTCCGCACCCTTGAATGTAGGGCATGTGGAATTCCCTCGTTCGAATCGAGGTTAGGTCATTGTCCATGTCTCACATTTCGCATTTTCCTTCTCCCTCAAGATTTGCAGTAATTAATGGTTGGGAAGAAACTTCTTCAAGAAAGGCGGAAGACCTAGTCCACGGGGAATAGACACCAACGAATACGGGTGGAAGTTCCCGTTCGAGCATGTTTGAGAGTTGTGGTAAATCTTTTTAGCGATCTTACTAAAAGAAAAGCGAGCTCTGGCGAGGGTGGACAGGTCTTTCCAATGAATTGGCAAATCAATTGTTTTTCAACTCGTAAAGTTGAAAATATTGAATTGGAGTCAATACACTTCGACAGAAAAAAGATTGCTAGATGAACCCAGGCTCGGGCTCGAGTTATTTGACTTATTTGAGAGGAAGTGAAACTGGTATCATTGCATTCATGGCGCATTCTTCTCATTGGAATGAGATGAGGGCAGAAGTCTCCAGTTTTATTGGGGGGTGGGCCATGTTGATACCGTTTGAATTTTTATGGTCCGATATTCATTTAAAAATTGTAGCAGTGGGCGTGAAGTTCTGAAGTGGTGGGGAGGGTCTATTGATGAAATTGCGTCACTCTTGAGCGCAGAGAAAATTGGAAACAAAACTCCGCATCGTAGTCCAAAATTTACTAGACAAATGCATACTGGTGAAACTAGCATCATATATGCCTTAAAATTAAATCAAATTTGTGTGTCAGGAATGAGATGCACAGCGCAAGCGAATTTGGATTGTTTCATTTTGAGGAAGTATCCCGATCCGCAGAAAGACGCAGAACCCACAGTCAGCATGAACTTGACGCATTTTGTGAGGTAAAGAACTCCCAGGGGCTAGAGCAAGAGGATACAGAGTTGTAATGTGCCAGTGTGTCGCATCCAAATATTGTATAATGCGGCCTATAGAAAATCTTCGCCGGAAATAATATTCACAAACCAAGCTTGTTGTGCCTTACCCGGTTACCGTGCTCAGTTTTGCCACCAAAAGACGTTATGTAATCTTCACGTGGCGCTCGGCAGTCTCCGGCGAATGAGGGCGGCGCGAAGCGCGGCCTGAGCGAGCGTTTGGTTTGTGACTTGCCGCTTGCGGCCATCCCACCAGTCATTAATGAGATTCAGACGGTTTGCAGGCAGTAAATGCGGCCCGCCGCGCGCGTGGCATTGACACAACAATGACATCACGGCGCCAGGAATGAAAGCGCCGGAAAACCGGGACGAGCCGGGGTTCAATGAGCGCGCAGAGGCTCTGGAAATATGCGCAGAGGACACTATGTAGATAATGGGATCCGGGGAGAAAGCACGAGAACGCGTTGTTTGGATCAAGGCTGGGAAGGTGCAACACGTGGGATACCAAACACAGCTGCACCGCCTTCTGCCACTCTCTCTGTTGCCACGACCTTCTGAAGAATAAGTACAGGTAGGAGCTCAATTAGTTGCTCTACTGAGCTCTAACCTCTTTACAGGACCTCCAAAACCCATGAACGACCGCAATCGTGACTTCGATACAGCGCGAAATCGGAATCGAAGCGGGAGATCCGCCTTGTCGTATGTGTGCGAACGCATATCGGAGTTGGATGCGCACATCCAGACGCTCGAAGAGGCTCTCGTTGCGGCTAAGCTCGAGCGGCAGGACTTGCAGACGCATCTCGACGCTTACAAATACCCCATCCTTACCCTTCCCACCGAAATCACCTCCGAAATATTTGTCAACTTCCTCCCACCTTATCCCGCATGCCCACCGGCCATTGGATTCTCCTCTCCTCACATACTAGTCCAGATTTGCCGGACATGGCGCGAAATCGCGCTCAGCACACCGCGACTCTGGCGAGCCATCGAATTGAGGCTTCCGACGACGTCTCCGACCAAGGCACTGGATTTATTCAGAACTTGGGTATCACGCTCTAAAAATTGCCCGCTATCGATTTCGCTGCAATGCTCCACCGAGCTGCTCGAGGTTGATTTCATCCAAGCTATCATACCTCATTCTGAGCGCTGGGAACACATCGACCTCAAACTGCCCATTGAATCACTTCGGTTGATTGGAGCGGACTTCCCCTTACTCCGTTCCCTAACTTTGGGCCCCACCCGCTATGCGGAAGAGACCGGAGACACTGACTCGCTGGATGCAATATCGCCGTTCAGTAATGCACCGATTTTAAAGCGGGTCACCCTTTCCAGCGACTTTGGGCCTTACGAGATTCAACTGCCGTGGTCACAGTTGACGAGTATTTCCGTCTACTTTCTGTCTCCAATTGAATGCACCGAAATCTTACAGCATTCCGCTTCCCTTGGGGAGTTTCGCTGCGACTATGTTGACGGTGCCTCTAGTATGGACATATTGCCCGTGGCGCCTCTGAGGCACCTGCACTCGCTGAAGTTTGGAGGTGGCTTTGGTCACCAGAAGCTCCTGGAAGTATTCACCACTCCCGCTCTCCAACATCTTTCGACTCCGGACAACCTGGATGACACCATTCCCAACATCAATGCGCTTATTTTACGGTCTCACTGTACTCTGGCATCCTTGCATGTGGTTCGTACGCTCAACAGAGAAGCAACCTATCGTGCAGCATTTCCTTCCATTCCCACTATTACTGTTACAAGCGGAGGTTTATCATGACCTTGAAGCTTGCCAAAATCCCTTCCATCGAAATCACAGGATAAACTGTCAGTACCAAATATTGTTGTAGATCTTAGAAAATCTATCGGTACCGAGACCCCCTGTCTACCGCGAAGGAAACTGTCGATATCAATAGATGAGATCTTAAAAGTTCGCCAACTCCGAATATTGTTTTATGCCGATACACAGCAGCGGAGGCCGAATGAATGTCTGTATGGCGATGGAGGGGAAGAAAATTAAACACGTCAATTTGCATGCCAGACCATCGAAGAACAGCTCTCAGTGGATACGGAAAGAAATAACTGTCTGCATGACGATGCATCAACAATCAACGGAGCGCTAATAACGGTTGGCGCGCGGATCCTGCATTTTGAACTCTGATCCTTGCGAAACCAACCCTAAAATTCGGCCAACCGAAATACGGTGTACCCGCGGAGCGCTCTGATTTTCTTGCGACAGTTGCGACAGCAAATGCACAGCAAAATCTAGTATGCGCG